AAAAAATTACCGGCCGAAAAATTTTTCGGTTAATTTTTTTATAGGTGTCCCAGGAATAATGAAAACAGCTGTAAAATAATGATTTATTTTCACATATTTAGAGCCATCTATATTAGAAAAAATACATAATATAAATCATTTCATAAGCACTTTTTTTTAAACAATATAATTAGTTAAAAAGCGGAGGAATTATACGTGTAAACCTTGGAGTACGAGGAATTTCGCGGTGGTAATTGCCATCTTTCTTATACAATCCGTTATAGTTACCCTTATGACTTCTACCGTTTAATATCTTCATTTGACTTTGATTACCGATATTCATAGTCCTTTTGCTTAAACCACGTTTTCCAACTTTTGTAAGTGAATTTTCGTTTTCATTACAAATATGTTGTTGCTGTTGTTGCGAACAACATTCCGCAATATTTGAATCACATAATTTCTCTTGCTGACATTGATTATACCCTTCACTTCCAATGTCCAAGAATATAGGCGATCGTTTTGTAAATAAAGAGCGGACGGGCAAAAGAGATGATTTGTAATGAAATGGTAAATTATTTAAAGGTGTACGTTTACTCACGAGTTTGAAATGGGTTTCATTTTGATTACACGAGGAAACTTGTTGTTCAAGTTCATCACAACTTTCTAGAGCATGCTCATTTGAACAACATGATTCGAAACTGTTGCATGAAGTACATGACGAATCTTCCATCAATTTTGGTGCACGCATGTACTAATCGCTGGGTTACGGATGCGTAGATATTGGTTAGGAAAGGCTTTAACAATGAGTACAGCGATTAAAGTAAAGATGACGGCAAAATGATAATTGAACAACATATTTTAAATGAAATTTGGTAGTATGAATGTTTTTGAAAGGCTGAGAAGGTAGCATACTAACATGATTTATATTTATAACAAGTAATCCATATAATATTTATCAGATTATTGAAAGCATCAATAAATTTAAAACTATTTTTTTTTTCAATTTATCTAGCCGAATTAATTACGTATTTATTGATCTATTTTTCTTGGCAATTCATATCAATAAATTGATTGAAAAAATGAATGGTTTCACAAATATATTTATCAAATTATTTTTGGAATACAGTATAACTCCGTTCAAATTTATAAATACCGTTTGTTTCATGATTCAACTTCCAAATGAACGGGTGCGGCTAGTTTTTTTTAAGAATTCGAGGGAGTGAGTAAAAACATGATTGTTTCTTCATTGTTAGACTATATGAATTTATTGTCTGTGAAGTAATTGTCGATGAATTGGCTGTTTACAGTGATACAAGCCGTGGTTTTTTTTTTGACGCGTCTACAATAAGAGTTTTTTTTTACTCCAATGTTAACTTTTTTCTTCTTTACTCTTAGGTTCACTTATGCTTGAGTTCTCAATGATCAGTGCTAAATGGCACGCGTTTCTGCTAGTCTCGTACAATCATGTATTTTTCTTTTTATAAGAGCAATCAACCTAATAATGTAATTTAAAAGAACTTTTTTGTTATAGAATTATCAAACCAACCTTATACTGTACGTGAATTTCATTTAATCAACTTCACATTTAGCAAATTTTATAAAATGTCAAACACAGTTTATACAGCTTATAAATAATCTAAAATTTTTAAATAAAATTTACTGATTCACTAAAGATCATTATTTCTAAACAATACCCCATTCCTATAACATTTCATAAAATACCATAGCCTAAATTGTTTATCTTTCTTTAACATTTCATCTTTTTTTTGTAAAAGTAATAAAGGCGATGGTGATGTCATTAATTCAAGTTTATGGTTATTTGCTAAAAAAATAAAATAAAAATATTGACTTAAAAAAAAAGTTACATTAAACATAAAAAAAAAAAAACAAGAATAAATGTTTAATAATCTTATTACCTTTTCTTTCATAAACAACTTCCCACCCTTCAAGAAAATTTTTATCTTTTTTTTCTTTCTTCAACTCAGTAATTTCTTCAACTTTATAAAATTCTTTTTCATAATCTTCTCCACCCTTTAACAGATCAATAACCCCTTCCCACAACCACTTCTCACTTAAAAATGGATTCCCACTAGGTCCATCAATAAATCTCGTAGTTAATTTCCAAACTATTGAATCAGCTTTATAAGCACATGCCATTAATCCCACCATTAATAAATATTTTATTTTTTCCCACCTTTTTTTAGATTTTGAATAATTTTCTAAAAACATAAATCTGTCAATTACATGTATTATTGGTTCTTTACCTTCATATGGTATATACCGTGGTGGAAATGGTAATAAATGTAGTTGATGTGAAATCAAAGGTTGTAGGTGTTTAATCGAATTATTCGACGGAATGGTCAATAGGTACAAATGGGTATAGCCAAATAGTGCTAATATTTTATCATTATTGTTTTTTATTAATAGATCTCGGAGTGCTGTTGCAACATTTTTGTGAGAGTTGATCTATAAATTGATAATATGTATATTAGAATTTTCTTTAAAAATATACAAATTTTAAAGTAACAAGGATTTATAATATAATGTATACAATAGCTTCAAGTCTTAGATCAAAACAAACATCATTCTGTGCTATGCTGGCAATAAAATCTCGATTTACACCTTCGACCGGCCAAAGTGAATGCAACATTTCATCAAACTCTTGTTTGGATTTAACTCCTCCGGCATCATCATTACATAATATTGTTTTCCAATACCACCTTCTTATCAGTGCAGTCTTAGATTCATAAAAGTTTAACCTTGGTTTATTATCTCTATGTATCGAATTATCATGCTTTCCTTTTGAGCAATCTTCAGTAGTATTAGGTTGATTAAAAAATAAATCGATTAATGCTGATAAATTATCACAATCCCATGCTTTCTCAAAATATCCGATAAGTAACGCTCGATAAAAATTTTGATTTATTAAAAGATTGGTGAAAAATGAATAATTATGTAATGAAATCTTGATATGCTTAATATTTTGAGGTGAATGTAATACTTCATCATTATAGTTGTCAGGATATATTTGAATTGGAAGCATATTCTGATCTGGAAGATATATAGTGATATGAATTATTGAAGTATGCCTGGAGACGAGGTAAAAAAGATATTTTGTGATTATCTTCTGTGCTATGCTGGCAATAAAATCTCGATTTACACCTTCGACCGGCCAAAGTGAATGCAACATTTCATCAAACTCTTGTTTGGATTTAACTCCTCCGGCATCATCATTACATAATATTGTTTTCCAATACCACCTTCTTATCAGTGCAGTCTTAGATTCATAAAAGTTTAACCTTGGTTTATTATCTCTATGTATCGAATTATCATGCTTTCCTTTTGAGCAATCTTCAGTAGTATTAGGTTGATTAAAAAATAAATCGATTAATGCTGATAAATTATCACAATCCCATGCTTTCTCAAAATATCCGATAAGTAACGCTCGATAAAAATTTTGATTTATTAAAAGATTGGTGAAAAATGAATAATTATGTAATGAAATCTTGATATGCTTAATATTTTGAGGTGAATGTAATACTTCATCATTATAGTTGTCAGGATATATTTGAATTGGAAGCATATTCTGATCTGGAAGATATATAGTGATATGAATTATTGAAGTATGCCTGGAGACGAGGTAAAAAAGATATTTTGTGATTATCTCCTGTGCATATCTATTTAAAATATATATAATTAGTAAAAGTATTTTGGGATAAAACTATCTAAACACTGTTGATTTGAAATATTTTTCAATGCTTACAATTCAATAAAATTTGGATCCAATTTCACAACAGTTTCCGTTACTGGAATAGGTCTATGATATATTCCCAAATTTTTATAATAATGCAATTTATACGCTTCTTTAAGAATACGTGGCATAGTTAAGAAAACCTCTAATGGATATGTCATTATTGCATAAATCAAACTAAGTAGATTTAGTGAATAAGAATGACCAGATGCTGTCGCAATCAGTTTTTTCCTAGATCGCTGCATTGTTGTCTTACTCTCATAGCTCTCATGGGCATTAGATGCATCATCTGGTTGAGAAGGATCTGTATACATTACTAGTCTCATATCAAGATACCCTGATTTAGGATCTTTACAGAATGCTTTATATATGCCATTTCGATCATTAAAAGGTGATACGTGAAATGCGCGTTTTATAGTAAAACTCATATCAGCCCTATAAAAAAATATCAATAAATTTAGACATATTTATTTATCTAAAAAGTCAAACAAAATCAAATTATTAATTAATAAACATAAACATGCCCAAGTCTAGTTGACTCATCAGCTTCACTATCATGATCCAAAATGTATAAATGCTTTTCACCGAAAGTGTTATTAACTTCCAACACAATGACTTTCAAAGAATTATTAATATCGTAGCAATAATAAAAGCTA